GGCAGGTTGGTGGGAGCATAAGGACATGATATTATCACTATTATGATATTATCATAATAAGTGGGAGGCTAATCTTAGAAACAGTTTTCAATTATCTGAAGTTGGTAGTAGCTTCTAATATGGTAGCTATTATTCACCCATTGCATTCACCATCAGAAAAAATCCATACAGAGATGAAGCCAACATATTTTGAATGTACACTGTACAGTTGTTGGCTCTTAATATAAGTAGTATGGCCTGGGAGCATTGAGTAGAGACAAGCAAGAAAGGATGAGCTGATATTAGGAAATGGACAACATTGAGTGTAAGTCAATACTTAGGTAACCTTCAGTCTGTCTCTTATCTACCATTTCTTTCTCCTTCCTATTCTTACCCTCTCTTCCCTCAGGTCTAATCTCCCAATTTAAGAAACAAAAGAAGTTTTTCCACTAGTACTGACTTCAGCCCGTTGTTTGCAATGTTGTTCTGACAGATGTGTCTTTAGTCACACAATTAAATTTTATGTACACTAGAGACTGAAGACTCCAATAGTTCCCTATCAACGTCAGATTAACAATGACTTGTACCTATAATCCTAGCTACTCAGGAGGCTGAGGCGGGAGACTTGCTGGAATCTGAGAGTTCAAGACCAGCCTAGTCAACAAAGTGAGATTCCGTCTCAAAAACAAAAAAACTTCTTTGCTTAAAATTCCAGTTTTTTTAAAAAATTATTTTTATTTTTTTGAGACAGAGTCTTGTTCTGTCGCCCAGGCTGGAGTACAGTGGCACGATCTTGGCTCACTGCAAGCTCCGCCTTCCGGGTTCACACCATTCTCCTGCCTCAGCCTCCCGAGTAGCTGGGACTACAGGCGCCCGCCACTACATCCGGCTAATTTTTTGTATTTTTAATAGAGACGGGGTTTTACCGTGTTAGCCAGGATGGTCTTGATCTCCTGACCTCGTGATCTGCCCGCCTCAGCCTCCCAAAGTGCTGGGATTACAGGCGTGAGCCACTGTGCCTGGCCTAAAATTCCAGGTTTTCTGTATTTGTCTTCTCCACTAGACTCTAATCAACTCCTTAATGGTAGGGATCAAGGTAATAGATATCTCTGTACCTCTGACTCTTTGCATCAAGTCTACCAAAACCATGTCAGGTGCTTGAATAAAATACAGAGCAGAGCTAGTTCCAACTTATCATTCCAAACTCATCCCCTGCCACTTCCTCAACTTGCCCTACCTTCAGTTACACTGAGCTTTTTCCATTGCCCTAAGCAGGCCTTTTTCTTTTAGGGTTTACTGCCTTTTCCCACATTGATTCCTCTGTTGTGATGCTCCTCCCTGCTGGCCTGGCTGGCTCATTCTTCAAGACCCACTTCAGTTACCAACAACTCTGCTGAAGCCTTTCCGAACCCTTGGGCAAAATTAGTAATTCCCTTTACAGGTCTTGAACAGTTGTCTGTTCACATCTTGAATATGGTGCATGATACACTCTTGAAAGTATCTGCTTAAGTGATAATAATGGCAGCTGTTTATTACATGTGCTAAAGACTGAGCTAATGTGACTGAGCTTTATAATATTAAATGGTGTATGATTTTAAATCTAACAGCTCTGAGACACAGAAAATCAGCAAGAGGCTGAGATGAAATTGGAAACTATTTTCTGGGTACTAAGAATGTAGGGATCAACTAGACACATGGTATTTTCTTCCCTCGGGGAGCTCCAACTCTTCAAGGACAGGGGTCAAATAGTCGTAAATGTGTGGCATTTATTGACTGTTTGATGTTTACCTGGCACACTGAAGACATTATCTGTAAATATTACAGCTACTCTACAAGGCAGGTGATATTATCCCCATTTCACAGAAGGGGAAACTTACATGCTCAAGATCACACTGCTGGTGCTAGGATTTGAACCCAAAGTATCTAACTTCAAAGTATCCTACTGATCTCCATATTCTAAGTGCCGAGCACGTAGTATGGGCATAATAAAAAGTGTTGGATGAACAAATTTCTGTAAGCAGGTTCCTTCTCCCACACTACAAGTATTAATAGTGCTCTTCTGTTGAAATATTTCTCGGTCTCAGCTCTGTTCTCATTACACATAGTGGCATCAGGGAAAATTAAATGCTGTCTTGGAATGACCAGTGGTGCCAATTAACCAAGAACATTAGGAAATTGTAAATGATTATAAATTCAAGAATAATTAAAAGGATGTAATTTTACTAAAAATAAGATGTAAAAATTAGCGAAGTTGAGCAAAATTCAGATCTTTAATTATAGAAATTGAGCATATTGAAACTGAGATCCTCATAAAACAATAAGAAAGAAGTATATAAAGACCTCATTTAAATAAAGAAAAACGTTATCACCCAAGTTGATACATTGGACACTGTTAGAGTGTGAAAAGGGCACTGGAGTCAACTGAAGTTGATTCCAGATCTGATACTTACAGCTGAGGAAATTCAAGCTATTTTTTTTTCTCTGAAATTGGGCTCATCAACAAAATAAGGATAGCAATGAATTCACTGAGTTGTTGTGAGGATCAAATGAGAATACCACCTAATTTACTACCTAACAACACATACTTGGCACTCAGTAATGAGTCTGCGTCTCATACTTTAAAAAATGAATGCATGGGCTGGGTGGGGTGGCTCATGCTTGTAATCCCAGCACTTTGGGAGGCCGAGGTGGGTGTATCACCTGAGGTCGGGAGTTCATGACCAGCCTGGCCAAAACGTTGAAAGTGCAAATTAAAACCATGGTGAGATACCAGTATACATTTAACAAAGTGGCTAAAATAAAAAAATTTGGACATTACCAGATGTTGGGGAAAATAAGGAAAAACTGAATAATTCATACATTGCTGGTGGGAATGTAAAATAGTACAGCCACTCTGGAAAACAGTTTGACAGTTTTTTACAAAGTTAAACATGTACCTATCATATAACCAGGCAGTCACACTCTTGAAAATTTGTCCTAGATAAATGAAAACTTATGTTTAGGCAAACATTGCTACACAAATATTTCTTACAGGTTTATTTGTAACAACCAAAAACTGGAAACAACCCAAATGCCCTTTACAAAATAAATAGATAAGCAGACTATGGGACTTCTATACCGTGAAATACTACTCAGTAATAAGGAGGGAGCTATGGATACACCCAGCAACTTAGATGGATCTCAAAGTCATGCTCAATGGGAAAAGCCAGTCTCGAAAGGTTAAATACTTGATAGTTCTATTTATACAAGCTTCTTAAAATAGTAATAATAACAATATGGGGAACAGAGCAGAGGTTAGGGAGAGAGAAGGAAATAAAGGATAGCAATGCACTGACATTCCTTTGTAGTGACAGAATGGTCTGTATCTTTTTTTTTTTTTTTTTTTTTGAGACAGAGTCTGACTCTGTCATCCAGGCTGGAGTGCAGTGGCGCAATCTCAGTTTACTGCAACCTCCGCCTCCCGGATTGAAGCCATTCTCCTGCCTCAGCCTCTGGAGTAGCTGGGACTACAGGTGTGCACCACCACGCCTGGCTAATTTTTTTGTCTTCTTAGTAGAGACGGGTTTTGCCATGTTGGCCAGGCTGGTCATGAACTCCTACCTCAAGTGATCCACCTCCCAAAGTGCTGGGATGACAGGCCCGAGCCACTGTGCCCGGGGATTACATTTCAACATGAGATTTGGGTGGGGACAAGTTTCCAAACTATATCACACACACATACTGAAAGATACAAGTACAGGCAAAACCTGGTGAAATCTTTTTTCAAGCAATTCTCCTGCCTCAGCCTGCCAAGTAGGTGGGATAACAGGTGTGCGCCACCACATCTGACTAAATTTTGTATTTTTAGTAGAGACAGGGTTTCTTTCACCATGTTGGCCATGCTGGTCTTGAACTCTGGGCCTCAAGTAATCTACTTGCCTCAGCCTCTCAAAGTACTGGGATTACAGGCATGAGCCACCGCTCTTGGCCAATGTTCATGATTGTTGACCTGGTAATTGCCATTTCTGATCATTTCTCCTAAGGAACTAATCCCCTAAAAGGTAAACACTGTAGTTATTCTCATTTGTAATAACAAAATATCCACATACAAACAAGTATTCCAAGAGGTAGGCAAACTAATTAAGTAAATTATGGTACATCTATTAACTGTAATATTGTTTAAATAATAAATTGATGAATATGAAACAAATAGTTATATTGTTATATATGCATAAGAGCAAGAAATGCATATGAAGACATAAATGTAATTTTATTTGCTTAACGTTGCTTTCATGTTTATGCAATTTTATAACATAATACTGAGGTATGTCTAATGGATGAATAAAGTTGACAGTTTCTTTTTGAATGGTTGCCTGTTGTTTTTTTTTTGTTGTTATTGTTTTGTTTTGTCTTGTTTTTGCTCTTATTGCCCAGGCTGGAGTGCGATGCTCACTGCAACCTCCGCCTCCCAGATTCAAGTGATTCTCCTGCCTCAGCCTCCCGAGTGGCTGGGATTACAGGCGCCTGCCACTGCGCCCTGGCTAATTTTTGTATTTTTAGTAGAGACAGAGTTTCACCATCTTGGCCTGGCTGGTCTTGAACTCCTGACCTCGTGATCTACCCGCCTTGGCCTCCTAAAGTGTTGGGATTATAGGTGTGAGCCACTGCACCCAGCCTTGTTTTGTTTTTTTGTGTGTCGGAGTCTTGCTCTGTCGCCAGGCTGGAGGGCAGTGGCATGATCTCGGCTCACTGCAACCTCCACCTCCAGGTTCAAGTGATTCTCTTGCCTCAGTCTCCTGAGTAGCTGGGACGACAGGCGTGCACCACCATGCCCAGCTAATTTTTGTATTTTTAGTAGAGACGGGGTTTCACCATGTTGGCTAGAATGGTCTCCATCTCTTGACCTCGTGACCCGGCCGCCTCAGCCTCCCAAAGTACTGGGATTACAGGCATAAGCCACTGCACCCGGCCGTTGTTTTTAATTCTGGCACTAATAACTGTTTTAAATTCTTTCTTGAACCCCTGATATTGTTTGTTTCCAGTTCTGTCCACTTTGCCGTTTAATACCCGATGAGAATCCAAGCAGCTTCAGTGGCAGTTTAATAAGACATCTGCAAGTTAGTCACACTTTGTTTTATGATGATTTCATAGTAAGTATATTTTCTTATTTTTACATTATGTTTTTATGCTGTCTTTGTTAAGCTTACTTTTCTGATCCAAGTGAATAAAATTATAGAGGAAAAAATGTGTATATAGCTATAGTGTTGAGTATTAGCATTATGTAAGAAATCAAGAAAATAGAATGTTTTGGCCTGGCACAGTGGCTCATGCCTGTAATCCCAACACTTCAGGAGGCCGAGGTGGGCAAATCACTTGAGGTCAAGAGTTCAAGACCAGCCTGGGCAACATGGTGAAATCTTATCTCTACTAAAAATACTAAAAATAAAAAAATTAACCAGGCGTGGTGGCATATGCCTGCAGTCCCAGCAACTCCGTAGGCTGAGGCAGGAGAATCGCTTGAACCCAGGAGGCGGAGGTTTCAGTGAGCTGAGGTCGCGCCACTCCACTCCAGTCTGGGCACCTGAGTGAGACTCTGTCTCAAAAAAAAAAAAAAAAAAGAAATACAATTTCAAGATAAAATTTAATAACGATTCAAGATCGTCATTTGAGAATTTTCTCCATGCTTTCTATCTGCCAGTTGTTATTATCCAGGTTGGACATAAGGAGCTCAGGTTCTAAACTAGTTTTAAGCAACAGCTCTGTCACATATGTGCGACCTTGCAGAAGGCATTTAACCTCTGAAACTCATTTTGTCCATTGGTTAAGGGAAGAGATTAAAAGCACCTACTCCCAAAACTCTTCTTAGGATTAAATGAGATAATGTATATAAAGGGATTTGCACAGTTCAGGCACAGATGTTTGGCAAATTGGAGATGGGATAGGAGTGTAATTGTTAGGACCACTTAAGGCACTGAACAAGGAACATGACAGAGGCTTTAAATCCTCAGCTCCATATCTCTAAGCATGTTTTTGTGGCCCATACGGCACACAGGCCTCAACAGAACTTGGTTCTGGTCTATGTGTTCTCTCTGGTAAAACAAAGAGGTTTCTCTTGGCCCAGTGTGGTGGTTCACGCCTGTAATCCCAGCACTTTGGGAGGCCGAGATGGGCAGATCACAAGGTCAGGAGATTGTGACCATTCTGGCTAACATGGTGAAACCCCATCTCTACTAAAAATACAAAGAAATGAGCCGGGCGTGGTGGCGGGCGCCTGTGGTTCCAGCTACTTAGGAGGCTGAGGCAGGAGAATGGCGTGAACTGGGGAGGAGGAGCTTGCAGTGAGTTGAGATCGCACCTCTGCACTCCAGCCTGGGTGACAGAGTGAGACTCCGTCTCAAGAGGTTTCTCTTTACCTTAGCTCTATGAGATGTTCTAAAGCCAGGTCGATTCTATGGGGGCTGTTCTGGCTAATCATGTTCAGTCTGTTCTCAAGATCTTTCAGACAAAGCATGATCCAGAGCTAGGCAGGATGAAGCCACTTTGATAAGAATACTTTCCAGCCACTCACAGCCATCTTCTTGGGTATGGAAGTGAGCTTGAAGTAGTGTTCTTTGTTTTGATTTTTTGCTTCCTGAGCTACTATATACTAAGCTAAGCACTCTATGTATATATCACAATAAAATGTGATATATACATAAGTTGTAGCAACTTCCGTGAAGTGAATACTGTATTTTTATCTTCATTTAACTGAAATATCTGAAGCTCAAAGGTTAACTAAATTACCTAAGAACAAGCCAGTGTCAAGACCAAACCTTGTGCTCTGCTGTGCTTTATGGCTTTCCTTTGGATTTTTTGGAGTTTTTTTTGTTTTTTGTTTTTATGTTGCAGAGTGGACTTTGAATAGAGATTTCATCTTTTGTTATTGTGGAAGAGGAGAGGGATTGCAGAGGATAGGGTTCTTAATGGTTTTGGTTTACTTATAGAATGTGCTGACATAGAATTTTGAATTCCACTTTGAAACATAGGGAGGTAAAGAGAAAGTTTTGTTTTTAACATTTTCTTCAGAAATAGCTATTCAGTGGTACTGCTGGCATTGGTGAAGCCTGTGGGGGTGCCTGAACTTTGCTCCATTTTACAGGTTTGTGTGGAACATAGCACTCTGAGCAGGATTTGTAATGATGACTAAAAACTTCTCATTATATCAGATAAAAACTTCAAATTTTGAATCAAGACTTTTTATTATGACAGTAACTAGTTAATTGATAGGAAGCAAAGTGAAGGAGAAAATTCATTAGCCCCAAAGCAAAAGTCCTGGGTTCTATGACAAGCTTTGTGGAACTTTGAACAAGTCTCCTAACTTTAGTTCCCTGCAAAATGAGGGTGTTGGATTGACCCTCATCCTCCAGTTTCTGAAATACTATTGACTCTGAATATTTCTAATTATTTTTCTTTATTGTAGGATTTTAATATAATTGAGGAAGCTCTTATCCGAAGAGTCTTAGACCGGTCACTTCTTGAATATGTGAATCAGTCGAACGCCACATAATTTTATTAAAACGAAGGGAAAAGAGACCACTGAATTGCACCATTTAAGATGCTGCTTGAACAAATTGAAGGGAAGTTGTCAATGCTTGATGGGCAAAAATGTACAACACGGTTATATGTTTGTCCATGTTTATTGTTATAGTGCATTTAAAAACTGCTTTAATTTTGATGATTTAAATCTGTTTTACATCCTTGAGATTCCTACACATCTAACAAAAAAAAACTGTCTATATCAGTCGTTATTATATGGAAAAGGCACATGGTAGGCAAGTGAGTGGAGGATCTTGATTTGCAAATTAGATAACATTCTGTGTATAATACTACATATTAATAACTACCATCATGGTTAGGCACGATAACTAATCTTTGTTCTATATAAGAAAATAGAGAGTGAAACAAAATGCAGACATTCAAAGAAATAAGAAATCTGCTCCAATGCCCTTGCTCTAATCTCTAATAGATTAACATTAATAATCTTGTACGGGAGTTGGAAAGGAACATTTTGGAAGTCAAGGAAGTCCATTTAGGCCGGACGCAGTGGTTCACACTTGTAATCCCAGCACTTTGGGAGGCTGAAGCGGGCGGATCAAGAGGTCAGGAGTTCGAGACCAGCCTGGCCAACACTGGTATCTGTGAAACCCTGTCTCTACTAAAAATACAAAAATTAGCTGAGTGTGGTGGTGGGCGCCTATAATCTCAGCTACTTGGGAGGCTGAGGCAGAAGAATCGCTTGAACCCAGGAGACAGAGGTTACAGTGAGCTAAGATCACACCAGTACACTCCAGCCTGGGGGAAAGAGCTAAACTCCATCCCAAAAAAAAAAAAAAAAAAAAAAAAAAATCCATTTACCCAAATTACATTACATAATACTGTAACAAAATAAGTTTTGTGTTAGAAAAGTATACTTAATTCTTTGACTTTTTGTAACTGCATACATAAGAATTCAACATTTTTCAAATATTTGTAGTTTATTTTGAAATATTTCTACAATATAGGCAATTTCTTAAAAACCGTCAGGTGATACTTACAGTAGAAGTATTCACATCCAAACTTTTTAGTAGAAAACCCTAAGGGTTTTGATTTCTTTTTTGATTGTAACATTTTAAAAATTATGAAATAAAAGTACTGAAAACCAGACACAAAATTTATAGCTGAATGCTTTATTATAAGGAAATACTCTTTTAGGACTCAGCCAGTCACCCCACGTGTCCTTTTTGTATCCTGTCACAATTACAACCCCACAAAAGTAACCACTAGACTGACTTAAATGGTAATCACTTTGTTGCATTTGATTACTGCTGCAACACCTAAATGCATATATCTATATTTTAATATTATCAATTTAAAATTATTAAATGTATATTTTATTTTACATCTCTTTTTTAATCTAGAAGTTCCCTCTTCTTTCCAGTTCCTTAGAATTTACCTGGTGAAGAACCTGATCCTAGGACCTATAGAGTTTCACATACTTTGTATTTTGCTGATTGCACACTCATGGCACAGTTCAGCACATTCCCCTGTCCTCTAGATATTAGCACATGGGGCAGGTTCAGGCACATTGTATTTGAGAAGACTTTGCTTCAGTCCTTTGGCAAGACTGTAAATCATGGTGTCTTCCTTCCTTCCTTCCTTCCTTCCTTCCTTCCTTCCTTCCTTCCTTCCCTTCCTTCCTTCCTTTCCTTCCTTTCCTTCCTTTCCTTCCTTTCCTTGCTTTCCTTGCTTTCCTTGCTTTCCTTTGTTTCCTTTGTTTCCTTTCTTTTCTTTCTTTTCTTTCTTTCTTTTTTTTTGACAGAGTTGCACTCTGTTGCCTAGGCTGGAGTGCAGTGGCACGATCTCGACTCACTGCAACCTTCATCTCCCGGGTTCAAGCAATTCTCCTGTCTCAGCCTCCCAAGTAGCTGGGACTACCACAATGCCTGGCTAATTTTTGTATTTTTAGTAGAGAGGGGGTTTTATCATACTGGTTAGGCTGGTCTTGAACTCCTGGCCTCAAGTGATCCACCAGCCTTGGCCTCCCAAAGTGCTGGGATTACAGACATTAGCCACTGCACCTGGCTAAGTTTTGTATTTTTAGTAGAGACGGGGTTTCGCCATAGTAACCAGGCTGGTTTCAAACTCCTGACCTTGTGATTCGACCACCTCGGCCTCCCAAAGTGCTGGGATTACAGGCTTGAGCCACTGTGCCCGGCCTACAGGGTTTTTATCTAACCTTTCTGTTACAACTATACTGCTCTTCTATACTGAGAGTCCTGGTTTTCAAGAACACAGAGCATGATAGAATTAGAACATCCCACAATTACTCATTTCTTTTATTTACCTTACACTTGCAACTGTCTCAGAATACAACCACAACCAATATGGCAATTGAAATAAGTGTTCCATTTGCTTTTCCCATTCTTTTCCAATTTTTTATTTTATTTTTATTTTTTTTTAGATGGAGTCTCGCTCTTGTTGCCCAGGCTGGAGTGCAATGGTGCGATCTCGGCTCACTGCAACCTCCGCCTCCTGGGTTCAAGCAATTCTCCTGCCTCGGCTTCCCGAGTAGTTGGGATTATAGGTATGTGCCACTACACCCTGCTAATTTTGTATTTTTAGTAGAGATGGGATTTCTCCATGTAGGTCAGGCTGGCCTCAAACTCTCGACCTCAGGTGATCTGCCCACCTTGGCATCCCAAGGTGCTGGGATTACAGGCGTGAGCCACTGCGGCCAGCACCCCAATTTTTAAAATAGTTATACTATATCAACATTTTCAGAACATACTGGTATAGCATACTGTACTTTCTTCCTTTTATCCCCCATTTATTCTTAGTTCTTCAACTGTATATTTAACACTTCCCCCAGTTTTTGTTGTTTTGTTTTGAGGCGGAATCTTGCTCTGTTGCCCAGGCTGGAGTACAGTGGTGTGATCTTGGCTCACTGCAACCTCCGCCTCCCAGGTTCAAGCAATTCTCCTGCCTCAGCCTCCCAAGTAGCTGGGATTACAGGTGGGCACCACCACGCCCAGCTAATTGTTGTATTTTTAGTAGAGATGGGTTTTGCCATGTTGGCCAGGCTGGTTTTGAACTCCTGACCTCAAGTGATCCACCCATGTTGGCCTCCTAAAGTCCTGGGATTACAGGCGTGTGCCACTGCGCCAGGCAATTGCCCCCAGTGTTTATTTGATGGCTCTGTTTCTCATATCTGACTCTTTAATTATGAATCCAGGGTGTAGATTAGTATCTCCATCTTGAAAGGAAGCAAAGAAGCCATGAAAATGAGTGATATCAACTCCTGAGGATAAAATGTTATTTGACTAGACTTAGCTTTTTAATTGTGATCATTTATAAACTTCTTTGTTCCTTGCATATAAGCATAGTCATAACCATGGTGCCCAAAATTTTCTATAAGTTATTGTAACTTCTTAAAGGTCTTGCTACAGTTCTTCTATCCAGTACAAATAACTGGGAAAATGTAAAGCTGAGTGAAATCTAGTGAGCCTCATATCCTCCCTTTTAGATATTGGTTTTAAGTTTGCTTTTCACAGCTGCTAAAAAGTAACAACTAATTTTTAGTTGCACAACCTCTCTTTCTTAAATTTGGATGGATCATACAATAAAGCAAAACCTGGCTAGTTACAGTGGCTCACATCTATAATCCCAGCACTTTGGGAGGCTGAGGTGGAGGGTCACATGAGCCCAGGAGTTCAAGACCAACCTGGGCAATATAGTGACACTCCTTCTCTTAAAAAAAAACAACAAAAAAAAAAGCTGGGCATGATGCACACCGTTAGTTTCAGCTACTAAGAAAGCTGAGGTTGGAAGATCACTTGAGCCCGGGAGGTCAACACTGCAGTGAGCTATGATCATGCTACTGCACTCCAGCCTGGGCAACAGAGCAAGACCTGGTCTCCAAAAACATAAATAATTAAATATAAATAAAAATCAAGCAAAACCTGTTAGGAAACAAGAGAAAAAGGAGAGGAATTTTTCAGGAATAATCATAAAAAGAAAAATGATCATCAGACTGAAAGTCTAGCGCCTGAGAAATGAAAACATATTTTTAAGCATTGGTGTTGACCATGCAGACAAACTTGTTAATTCAGAGCAGTACAAAAAGCACCTTTGAATCTATAAAACTTGAAAAAAGTTAAAAATTGTATTTTGGATAGGCTAGTCGCGGTGGCTCAAGCCTGTAATCCCAGCACTTTAGGAGGCCAAGACGGGCGGATCACGAGGTCAGGAGATTGAGACCATCCTGGCCTACATGGTGAAACCCCATCTCTACTAAAAAATACAAAAAACTAGCCGGGCAAGGTGGCGGGCACCTGTAGTCCCAGGTACTTGGGAGGCTGAGGCAGGAGAATGGCGTAAACCCGGGAGGCGGAGTTTGCAGTGAGCTGAGATCTGGTCACTGCACTCCAACCTGGGTGACAGAGCGAGACTCTGTCTCAAAAAAAAATTGTATTTTGGATAAAGCTTTAAGTCATCTGTCACTATTAACCTCAATGCAGCAATTCTGACTCCTGTGCCTGGATTCCTCTTATGATAATTTTGCCACCTACAGGACAGATTAGGTGCTGGTCGCCTGAATTATTTTGTGTTCTGAATTATTTTGAGTTCTAAAATGGTAAAGTGCAAGTACTCATTGTTTCACTGTGCCTTTAGCCTTTTATAAAAAGGTATTTATAATTCATTGATAAAAACCAATATTTGAAGCTATTGATTACCAACAAAAAAGTTTCACTGTCTTTATAGTGCCTCAGGATACAACTTTTTCAAGGCTTATTAGAGAAAAACTGATTCACATGTTATTCTTCTAAAGCTAAATTCTTAAAATGTAGGTTGAAAGAGTGGATTGATTGTGAATCTACACTAAACATATGGTCCCAGGCAGACCTCCTTACTGTCTTCAGTGATGTTGCATTTCATTACTGTTACTGGGTGCCAAGTGTCTTTCATTTGGAAGTGAACTTACTCCAAGTTATTCCAAGTTATTGAATGTTTATCATATCATAATTTGTATTTTCAAACATTAAGTTTTTCAAATATTAAGTCACTAAGAGATTCATTCTTTTATCATTCAACTACAAAAAAATTAGTGTAATGATTGGAATTTAAAATGTACAATTCTTTTTCTTCTGTAAGTATATGTTGCTATGATAAATAAAAAATGGCAGGACCATTGTTTTTATTAAAATATCTACTGTGTCTATTCTGAAACATTAATCTTGGTTACTTTTTTACTCAAACCTAATAATGCTTTTTAAATCTTCATCATTGAGCAACAATGATGAATGAAAGGTATACATTCATTTAGGCCAGTAGTTTGCAACTGGGGATAATTTTGTCTCCCAGCAGACTTTGGCAATGTCTAGACACATTTTGGGTTGTCCTAACAGGGCTCAGGTGTGCTAGTGGCCTGAGATCTAGATAGAGGTCAGGGATGCCGTTCAGCATTCTACAGTGCACAAGACAGCCGCTCGCAACAAAGCATTATCCTGCTCAAAATGGCAATAGTGTCAAGGCTTAGAAACTGATTTGGCCAACATAATACTGAGCACTGTGGGATAATTCATTCTGCTAGCAAGAGACTTCACTGAAATTTGAAAGGTAAGATGTAGATAGATTCTTCCCCCTGCTAAATCCATACTAAGTTTCGAATGGCCGTAGCTGTCATGTGTACCCATATGTCATGAGCATATTAATTTTTTGATTTTTTGCAAGAACATGTACAGGACAGAACACAAGTGTTACAAAACCTCTGATGCTTCTCTGTTTGCTGAGTGACGTAGTAGATGATTGAGGGAACCCAGGATCAGTTGAGAAGATTTA